CACACACACACACACACACACACACACACACACACACACACACGGTCCGTCTCTTGTGTGTTTGGTTTCGCGTCAGGACCCGATCATCACCAAGCAGCTCATCCGCAACGTCCTCACGTCCGCCGTCATCATCGTCTGCGGTGCGTACTGATGTGTGTGTGTGTGTGTGGGTGTGTGTGTGGGTGGGTGGGTGTGTGTGTGTGCGTTGATGTGTGCTCGTGTGAATGCGCGGTAGTACGTCTGCGTGCGAGTTTGCAGCCGCATCATTCCCACCATTCAACGTGGTATTGTTCCGCCTGCGCCCCCTTGTCTGACCAATGGCCGTGTCTCTTGCCAACACGACAGGGACGCTGTATGTGTTCTGGCGGGAGCACGAAGCGGACGGTCTCATTACGCGCCGCGACACAACAATGACTTTCACCACCTTTGTCTTCTTTGACATGTTCAACGCTCTCAGGTGTGCGGCCATGCCTCTGCTTGCTGTGTGTGTGTGTGTGTGTGTGTGTGTGTGTGTGTGTGTGTGTGTGTGTGTGTGTGTGTGTGTGTGTGTGTGTGTGCCTTGAACTTTGTGTCACAGCTTTTTATATGCTGACCGTGCCACCCCAAGTTACTCTCCCTCACCCTCGCCCTCTCCCACACTTACGGTTGTGGTGCAGCTGCCGCTCTGCGACCAAGTCTGTGCTTGAGATTGGGCTGTTTGCAAATCGCGCGTTTCTGTTTGCTGTTGGCGGGTCCATCATCGGACAGCTCGCCGTCATCTTCTTTCCACCGCTCCAGTCCATTTTCCAAACAGAGGCGCTCTCGCTCTGGGTACGACAATCGGTGATGATGATGGTGGTGATGGTGGTGGTGATGATGATGATGATGATGATGGTGATGGTGGTGTTCTTTCGTTGCTGCTGCTGCTGCTGTAACTGGTGCTGGTAATGATGACGATGGCACCTTTGATGTGGTATCAGCTCATCTCGCACGTCCTGACTCCAACGCTCCGTTGCTCACCCCGTGTCCACGCCTTGTTTTCTATCCCTCCCCCCTTGAACGTGCAGGATCTCGTTTACATCATCTGCCTCACATCGACCGTTCTCATTGTGGATGAGGCCAGGTGCGTCATCTGTGCACAGCGCGCATTGGACACTGCTGTACCCTCTGCTTGCCTTGCTCATGTTGTGACATTACACCTTACTTGTCGCCGTGTGCTCATGTAACACCCTTCTTGCATCGTCTTCGCATCTTGCGTGTTGTATCTCACAGGAAGCGGTGGGCGTTGCCCAATAAGCGTCGTCTCCGCGTGGCCCTTCCATTTTGAACGTCTATGAACCATCAAGTGCGTCATGGGTGGGCGGTGGTTCGGGTTGATAGCTTCTCACAACAAAAAAGTAGGCTTCGATCCCAGTTGTGTGTGTGTGTGTGTGTGCATGTGTGTGTCGGTGTGTGTGTGCATATGTGTGTGTGTGTGTGTGTGTGTGTCGGTGATGAGAAACGGGGAAATAAAGTGTTGCCATGAGGGGCAAATAATCTGAGATTTACTACAGGCAGACGCGCTTTCTGACACACACACACACACAAGCAAGCAAACAAACAAACAAACAAACAAACACACACACACACACGCACGCACGCACGCACACACACACACAAGCAAACAAACAAACAAACAAACAAACAAACAAACAAACAAACAAAACAAACAAGCAAGCAAGACCAAGAGCCCGTGCAGAAACAAACAATGGGAAGCACAAAGGCAAATCATGACATTCAGCAAACACGAGAACACTTGGAAGAACAAAATGGCACAGGAATAAGCATTGTCGTTGCCACCATCACTTTCGTTGCCATGCCAGAGGCAATTGTGGACCACATCTCCACCAAAGCCGTGTGACCCACACGACGAGACCATACGACAGCAACAATGTGGGGACCGAGAGAGGATCCCATCAGCACATGAGCGTGCAAACAAACCAGGACAGAGCGAGCCACACGTACACACAAGTACACACGTACACAAAGTACAGCACCCTCATGCCGCGCCCTCAATTTGTTTGACGAGATCCTCGCAAATGCTCGTGAGCTCGCGGTTGTCCGCATCCTGTCATGCAGACACACACACACACACGCAGTGTGAGGACAACAAGCAAAGACAACAGGAAGTCGATGGTACGACGGACACAACAGGCCACACGTGCGACGCCACAACACATGTGCATGGCCCGACCTTCGCTTCGAGCTGTCGCTTCAGTTGGCCAATCTCGACCTCCATCCGACGCATCTTCGCCGCCGACGCCGCCAGCTGCCCTTTGTTCTCCTCTCGCACACGCGCAATCTCAACATTCGCCCTGTTCGCCATGTTGCGGTTGCGCAGCGTGTGCATCAAGAGAGAGAGAGAGTGTGTGTGTGTGTGTGTGTGAGAGAGAGAGAGAGAGAGAGAGAGTGTGTGTGTGTGTGTGTGTGTGTGAGTGTGTGTGTGTGTGTGATTGTGTTGTTTGTGTATCTTTTTTATTTT